GCCACCAGGGAGGGCCAGAGGCCTGGAACTTTTTAAAGGCCGGTTTTTGTGGCTACCAGTGACCTTCAGTTCCCAATCTTCTTCCATTTTTGAAAAAGAAGTAGGAGATCCAAGCCCCTAGTATTAAGTGTTCAGCACACAGCAATACTCAGTCTACACTCTGAATAAATAAAAAAGTAGACACTAAATGTTACTTGTAACATTACTAAATTATAAACACCTTAAACTGGCTTCAAATAAAAGGGTGCGCCTTTTCCACTCCATTCTCAGAGTGATTTTATCCAAAAATAAAGAGTCCAAAGATGTAATAAAAATGTAAAATATAAACCCCAACTCTTATTCTTCACTTATTTTATACTGCTTTTGATCAAATAACAAGAGAGTGAAGAGTTTCATAACACACATATGTGTCTCCCGAAGGAAGAAAGAACTTCAGAAAATGGACTTCTTTATTTTTCATATTCTCATCAAGGACACAACACAAGCTGGTATTTGTAGGTGCAGTCAGCTTACCTCAAATTCTTTAAGAAATTTTTCAGCTCTCTGGCTATTATTCAGGTTGCTGATGCTTTCCGTCAGCTGAGGAACAGAATTGTTTGACCATCCTTCGATCTCATCTTTACTTGAAAGTACATCCTCCCAGATGGAGAGGCTCCCCCTCAGCCTATCTGTATTCTCCTCAATTCTCTCTGACACCTGGGACAGAAAACATAAACAGGCCTGAAGATGCTTCTCATCTTCCCAAAGTACTAAAATGCCAATTCTTTCTTATTCGGAAAACTACATTTCGGCTAAAAAAACAATGGTTACAAAGTTTATAAGTTAGCTAATGTAATCATCTCAAGGAATTATTAACCATTACATACACATGCCTGTCAATGGGAGAGTTGATGAAATTTCTGTGCTCTTCCATTTGTATTTGTCAATCAGGGAACTAACAACTGGCCTATCGGAGTCTCCCATCCGTAATACAACTCACTCAAAGGTTGAATTCTAGAAGGGAGGGCTCCATCTCGAGCAGGATTGTGTTTATAATTGAAAGTTACACAACAAGCACTTTTATTTGTAAGGCCGAGAGAGAAAAAGGGGGCATTGATTAGAATTCAGTGTATTCACAGAATAAGTAAAGCACAAGGAACAACTGGTTTTGCATGTTTAAAGTGAAGCATCAATACTTATACTCCTCCTATGGAAAGAATGCCTCTTTGAAAAATGGTCCCTTTAAAACCTTTATAAAGTCTCTGGGAATTATATGATAATGGTGCACAAATACCAATGTCTAACTCTCATAATCTGGCTTCTATTGGTAAGATTTCTGAACCTTGGCATTGATAATGGGGGCAGAAGGGTAGAATTAGTGAGTTTTTGTGTTGGAAAATAATGCAAAATATATATGAATTGCATGTAGGTTTCCAAAGACCAAGTGTTTTGTTTCATGGTGACATACTACACAGCTACTGAATAAAAACGAAAACTTAAGATGTAAACTACAAGTCCAATTTTTTCTATGAAAAATTATAACCTTCCTTCTTCTAATTATTATATATTATGATGGCTCAATACTCCATAGGAGGTTTAAAAATCATTCCCACTGTATCCATAACTGCACAATTTTCAGAGGAAAATATTTAGTTCTTCAACTTATGACTGAAATTACCATGTTAAATTCTAGAACACCTGCCAGTAAGTTTTAACAAGAAAACACATTATCTTTTCCCTTTTTCCAAATGGTATGTGAACACTATTTTTCTTGAGAATATAATTTTACATTAAAACTAATTCAGTTAAAATTGGAATTCACATCTCAAAATAACACTTGGTCTAAAAATGTGATCGAGACATTTAAATATTTAAACAGTCCGTAGGCGCCCATGGAATCCAACCACTTGTCTTACATCCAACCACTTATCCACAATGTTTTCCATGTCTGTTTTCACCAGGAGAAAATCACCACTGTGGATTTTCTTCAGCTCAGATAGCAAATGCTTTCCTTTACTGGTAAAGTTATCCAGTTCTTTCTGTTTATTATGCATCTCATTCTTTGCAGTTTCATGCTGTGGATATAAATGTTTCCTCATTAATAAAATAATCACTGTTAAGTCAAGAGTGTAAAGTTATTTGCCTCTAAAATTTAGTTCTGGATTGACCTTATGTAGAAATGACTATTATTTTTAATTGTGTAGATACAGATAAAGCATGACTTTCTTAAATTGCTAGAATCCTAAAATATCAGTACTTCTAGAAAAAGTTGAGCACATCAATATGAATTGTCTACACTAAGTGTACTGATAAGGTTCATATAGAGGATATATTATAAGTAGAAAACTGAAGCAGTCTACTCAAATAAGCACATTTTGAAGCTGTTTTTACCTTGGATAGAGCCCATTTAAGATCCTCCTGATCTTTTATAGTAGTTCTGGTTACAATCACATTGCTGGCATTTTCTAGGACTTTAGAAACGGCTGACTTCAAGTTTTGATATTCTCTCATTAAGTCAATAAGTCCACAGCACTGACCCTGGCTGCAATGATAACAACATACATTATTTGCCATCAGGATGCCCCTGTGATTGGACCTGATCTATAACTACAGCATATATAGATGGATGCTGGAATCAAAACAAACCCACATTTCTACCTACAAAGGTCAAAAGAATACTGGTCAATCCAAATGAGCTGTGGTGTCCAATATATTTTCCATGAATGAAGAATACACACACCTATTAAAACACAAATTGTGACCTCAATGGCAAGAGAAGATGCAATATATGTTCCTGGCAATTCAGACTTAATAGGTGTCACCATATTTTTTTTTATTTTTAATTTTCCCAATTATACATCGTATACTAATTTATACTACGTAAAGTATGCACTGACTTTGCATTTTTGATAAAATCCCTTGCACGTGTACGTGCAAGACTATTTATGGACACTCTTAGTTCCTTCCACTGGTCTCTATGCTTATTCTTTAGCCAACACAACACTGAATCCAGGTGGTACAAATTCTCCAATTCTACTTCAAAATTGTACTTTCTGAGGTCTTTTGCCTTTACATGTAGATTTCTGAATCAGATTGCCAAGCTCTATAAAAACTTCTGCTGTGATTTTTTT